GTTCCGGGCCCCTTCCCTAGATCCGCCACTGGCGTTTGCTTTAACTTTGAGTTCTGGTTGGCTTCTATTGATGTTGTCTTTTCTTCTGATAGTTCTGATTAGTTGTTGTGGTAACCTTGGTTTTCGCTTTCCAACACTCAATCAAAATGCGCTCTCAGTTTTAAATTTCTTTTTGAAAATGGTCTTTATAGAAGACTGGTTCCTCGGTAGCTTTGATTCTTGTCAGCTGGAATTTGCTGCTCGTTTAAGGCGCTCACAGCGACATCTTCTACCCATTTTGTCCGACTCTTTGTTCCCTTTTTACTTTATCTATTTGCTTAGCTTTCTTTAAAAAAGACACGCAAGTCCAGCCAAAGATATACCGAAGCAAACCTCACAACAGTTTTGAACAGATCCGTTTGTCTTCATATGATATGGCCGACGAGTACTTTTGTTTACATACATGAATATTCTCGCATGAGTGATTTCCTCTGTCTTGGTTCTCGTTTTAGTTATTGTTTTACTTATCATCACGTTTTCTACGTGTGGGGGAATAATCCACTAGGACACTAGAATGATAGAAGATTTCACTTTTATCTAAAATCACCCACAAAACTTACCAAATGAATTATTTTTAAGAGACATTGGCTTCTGTCAATAATAATTACTTGTGAAAATATGTGAGTAAACAATGAGGAGAGCTGAAATCTGTGTTCAGTTTCCAAGGACACGGATCTGTTAAAAAAAGGCTCCGATCATATGTTAATTTTTTTTCCAATCACACTAAACACACTGAATCGAACCAAAGGAAAAGACGTGACCTGGATCTGTGATAGATTGAGTTTATTTTTTTTACTCTTTACTTTAACAGCACAAACATGAAAATGACATTTTCAAAGGACTTCGCTTCTCATCAAAATCAGAAGCATAATCATTTTATGATATGCCTCTTTCAAAATAGAATGACCTTGAATTTTCCTTTTTTGATTTCCAAGGAAAACTTTCGTTTTACGGCAAGAATGCAGGATTTTGGTGGAAAGTCTTTGTAAGATATAAATGAGTTTTTTTTTTTTAAATCATATTTTCTAGTCGTAACAAAACGAAATGGGAAACGAGAAGCTTTGTTAAAACGTGTTAAATCCAAGTTATTCGAGAATCAGAAAATGAAACATTCAAGGCCTATTTCTAGACTTGCTCTAGACCTTAAAAATTGCTGTAAAATCTGAAAGGTTACAGTGTTATTAACAGTCAAAAGGATCTGTTTTGTTGTTAACACAGGAAATTGCCTACAAATCTTAAAGACATTTCCACAACACTATTATAGTCTGTTCCCAAGCGACCTCGCTTTGTAAAGAACAATGACATCATCGAGAAAACTCGAAGAAGTCCATGTTTAATTACTAAGCACCATACGGCTTAATGCATCGAATAAAACCCACCCACGATAATGTTTGGTGAAATATTAAGCACTTTATTTCTAAAAAGAAACGAAGTGGTAAATAATTGGTAGGCACGGTTAGTCATGAAGAGATTTCAATTTTGGTTGTGTCTGAGGTAATTGAAGATGGTGCCACATTTGCATGAAGTTCTCATTACAGAAGTCGATCGTGAACAAAAACAAAGCCTGACTTTCAAATCAAATTCACGTTGGCTGTTATTGTAATAAAATCTTCAATAGATCTCTTTTTTTTAATCTTCAAAGAAAACAAAACTAAACGCACAAAGATCGATCTTATTGGTATGAAATCGCTGTTTTCCGAGCAGTTTCTCTATTAAATATTGATTTAGTTTAGCTTTTTCCTGAGCAAATGTCAGTTACGTAAAAGTTATTTCATTAACCTGTTGTCTTAACTTCTATTCTTGACAGGTCGATGAAAAAGGACTAGTAGCTGGCTACGCTAATCGTAGTTGATCCTCTTTTGTATCGAAGATTGCGGGTAAATCGTTGCGGATTTCCCAGCACTGAACGCTAGAGAAGGAGACCCCGTTGAGGAAGTCGTAGATCGTGCCATATTGTCAAAAGGAGGTAAAACAGCTGCTAATTCCTGTTTGTGTACAGCAAAGGGCTAAAAAATAAAAAATAAAAAAAACAAAACAAAGGACAGAGGGAATTGAAAGAACACAAAGAAAAGTCTGACACTTAAAAGTGTGAATTCATCATTCATTTACTGATGCAGCTAGGCGTGAACAACTCATCCACATCCATGGCGTCTTTTACGCCCGATGCTGAAACCTACCTGGGTGTAGACACAAGCGTATTAATTCCAATTTCTGTGACTTGGGCCGCACTGGGTCTTGTGTCTACTGCGCTCAACATCATTGTATGCCTGATAGTTTTGAGCGACCGACGGCTGTGGACAATTACTAATTCATTCATAGTGTCTCTTTCGGTGGCGGATCTACTTATAGCTGCTGCACTCATACCGATTTACATTTGCGAGAACTTTACCATGACGCAGACGCCTATCACAGGGTACGTTATCGCCTTTCTACTCCTTGCGTCGATCTTCAACATCGGAGCGGTAACCTACGAGCGATACGTGGCTCTGACAAGACCATTCGGTTACCGGGTGACAATGAATGCGACCAGGGTTGCGGTGATTATCTCCCTGTGTTGGATCATACCGTGTTTCATTTCGATACTTCCACTGGCTTGGGATGCGGATCCGATGTCAAAATATCACAAAATTTACATGTTTGTTACTGTGTTTGGCTTCGTTCTGTTGCCGTGCTTAGTCATGGTATGGATTTATGTGCGTCTTCTTCGCGTCGTACGTCGATTCATCTCTCGAAATCGAAGGCGGTCCACTTGGGGTAACAGAACAGGTGAGCGAGCGGGGAATGAAGACAAGGCTGTGATAGTGTTTGCTTTAATTTTCGGGATGTTTCTCCTCTCTTGGATGCCACTTATTTACATCAACATTTGTGAAATATTTGATCAGCTTCACCTGATCACATTACCGGTTCTCTACGTTTCATTTTATACGTTGCTTTTCAACACCATCATGGACCCGTTGATCTACGCGTTTTTGAAGAAAGACTTCAGCGAAAGTTTAAAGAAAAGGTGGAAAAAAGACAACAATAACACTCCGAGAGAAGAATCACAAATTGAAATCACAATGGTTAAATCGAAATGTTAATGAAATAGTCTAGTTGCGATTCAGATTAAGCTGTGTGAACTTTTTTAATAGAGCTTTTTGAGGCAGAACACTGCAACTAAAACAGATTTGCCTTTATTAACTCTGATGGGAACTTCAACTTTTCGCGCTGCTGTGGACGATCATTCTCAGTCGGGGACGATCTCAGGAGTTTCAAGGAAAGCCGGTCACTGCTGTTTGTTTAGCTTGCGGGCAAGCTCTCGTGTTTTGGTGGGTTTTGCCTTACAGGCCCTTATAGACCTTACAGGCCCTTAGTGGACTCCCTGGTGGCCAAAACTAAATTTCTCCTTACAACGTCAATCGTTTTCAAGGAGAAACGTGAGGAAAGGAAAGAAAAGTATTAGCCTGGGTAACTTGTTTAATTCAACACCAAATTCCCACCATGAAAATTATGATTAATGTATGACAGCGGGCGGTATTTTGGGAGTGAAAGGGTTCATATTTCGGATTTTTTCTTATACTTTTACAACATAAGTCAAGGAAATCACGTAAATGCGATTATCTTTCGCGATTTATGGGCTCGAATAACATTTCAACTGAAACTTGATTAAACTTGAAAACCTTCTACAACATCAAGAATGGCCGTGAACCACCAGTTTTACGAGCAGTTTATACTATATTTTTATTTCTTCAGTAAAATCATCCTTTTGAACGCTACTTTGAACTTTCATGGTGCACTATAGTTAGCTCGATAATATCGAACGATTTGTAAATGCTCCTATGTTTTATTAGAAAACGACGGGAAAACTTTAGTTTTAGCTTAATTTTTAGAAAGTTTAGTGAGGAGATCTCGTATCGCGATCTAAAATAGATTTATGCACTTCGCAATCGCTCAATCGGGTAAACTATGATTCGACGAGTATGTAATGCGTCCATATGAAGGCTGGGATTGGCCGAGCCAGTGCCAGGTCGCTCAAGTGGCATCTTTGTTGTTGTTGTTGTTGTTGTTGTTGTAGGAGATGCTGAGCTAAGAAAGCTTGGAAAATTCTCTTAAAGTTGTGTAGGGGTGTGGTCAAAGCCAAATCAGAAATCAGCGGTAAATAAAAAGAATAAAAGCTGCCCTAGGAAAACAAACAACAGTTCTTCCCAAGGTGCACCAAAGGGAAAAAAAAAATGTTACATCTGCATCTCGAGATCCCCATCCCAACCTCTATCTTCCAATGCTTTTCCGAGGGTTTGTTTTTCTGATTATACATTACAAGACTTATGCTTAGTTAAAGGTGTGATTTCTTGGAAACTTATCGATAAAATAAAATACGTGATAGAGTGAAGAATACTTTGAAATGAACTTATCTTATTTTCTTATCAACAACGTTAAACTGAATGACACGATGTACTGAAAATGTCGTTCTAGATGGTCTTTTTTCATAGTGTTCTCTTTGTTAACGGCCCCAAACCCTTCCAAATAACCAGGAAGATTCTATTCGCTATTCTCTCCTCCAGTTCTTACATATTACATTTTAAGTAAGGAGAATTCAGCGTATATCAACTAGCATGGCTGACAAGTTTCTCAATTCTCATTAACTTCTTGTTGATATCTTGCACTGATATAAGCTTATAAAAGGAGGTCTTCAGTTACATAAAGATGAGGGATTTGCCACACATTTTTCTGCTCCGTTTGTCACTCGGAAAGAAACTGGTCGTTGATCTTTTTTTTCTCAAAGCGAGGAGGCGCAAAACGAACGTGCGTGCGCGAGCGCGGAGCGAGAGCGCTTGAACAGTTTTTCGTGAGGTCATTTTGTTGTTAGTACGCGCTTTCATGGCCTTTGTTGTTGTGCAGAGGTGATTGTCGTAGAAAGGTTGAAATAAGAGTGCATTAATGAACAGTCTGCACCCTTGAAAAAGAAGAAAAGAAATTGGCTGGTGTGTAGAGGTACCCGATATTTGAGGTTCCATTGTAATTTTCATGAATGTAATATGCCTTGCTTTCTATTGGTATATTGGCAAAAAAATCGATTCGAAATGTTGGGAGAATTGAATCGGTTATCACACTCACTGTGACAAGCCAATTATGCTCAACAACTAACAGTCATTCGTAATCCCGAGATTTATCGAACAGTTACCGAGCACTCGAGACGCCGACGAATGTTGCTCGGCTGCTAAACCGGAAATTTTCGCCTCAAGCTGGCGTGGTTGGGAATCCAAGATGGCGGGCGCCAGTGTTGGTTAGCAAATAGTTACTCTTTGTCGTTCTGTGCTCATGGTTTTGTAGGGTAAATTAGCAGCATTGTGTAATAGAAGCTTTCATTTGTCATTTTAATCGTGTACTTGTCTTATTTCCGCAGTGGTACCTCGCAATTTTCGCTTGCTCGAGGAACTAGAAGAAGGCCAGAAAGGTGGTGACGGTTTAGTTAGCTGGGGCCTGGAGGACGACGACGATATGAACCTAACGACATGGACCGGTATGATCCTTGGTCCTCCAAGAGTAAGTTTCAAGGCTACGTAAAACTTTTGGTGTTATTCAAAACCTAGTTAATTGTTTAACTGGCTTAGATTTTGTCAATGTAATAGGTTAAAGTGCGTGAAATTATCAATTTGAAGCTTCACGCACTTCACAACCACAACCATCGAAGGATTTGGTTTGTATTTGGAAAGTAAAATCACACTTGCTTTTGTTTTCATGGAAAATGTTTTCATAATTGTGTTTTACGTCGAATGTTATGAAACGTTTGCTCACTTACCTTGACTTGATACACGGGTTACACGATAAAAAACGTTTGCACGCCGTAATTAGAACATCTCAGATTAAAATAGCAGCGTTTTTTCATTAACCACTGCAACGTAATTGTTGTAAGCCAGTAAGGTAATTTATGAGGGTGAAAGGACAGCACAGAGGGTAGTGTGGAAGTTGTTTGGGTGCCTGTAGTTGACCAGTTGCAACCAAGGATTTTGCTTTATCCATAGTTTTACATGGTAAGATTTCACCTCCATCATGAAGAGCTCACCCCTTTAATCGATTCAACCTAGTCAGCTGTACCTTACATTTTTTCACTAAGCAAAAATTCTTAGCCATGCTTTTGTTGTGAATCAGGGCAATTTATTGTCCGCTTGTTTGCCTTTGCTATGATCAGTTTCCTCAATTTGGTGTGTTTGTTAGATTCTGTGGGGAAAAAACCTTACAACACATTGGACCTGAACTTCAGCACACATTAGGCCACCTCATGTACTGTCAATTGGTCTTAAGCCAGACTTACCCTATTGCTCGGATGAAGGGCTGATGCTTAAAACTCTTTACAGTAGCTAATTTACACTATCAACTCAGTTGATAAAACCAAAAGTACCCTTTTATTTTAACCTACTTGTATGCTATGATATAATTTATTTGGCATTATTAATTTTTTAAGACATATTTATGAACAAAAAAATGATGTGAAGGAATGTTGCTGATGTGAACCTTGTGTGGAGGCGTGGTGGCCTCATGGTTGGTATGCTCGACTCCGGATCGAGTGGCCCGGGTTCGAGCCTCGGCTGGGGACATTGTGTTGTGTTCTTAGGCAAGACACTTTACTCTCACAGTGCCTCTCTTCACCCAGGTGGTTTTAATGGGTACCAGCAAATTTAATTTTTTGGGGAACTCTGCGATGGACCAGCATCTCATCTAGGGGGGAGAAGAAATACTCCTAGTTGCTTCATGCTACAGAAACCGGAGTTAAGCTCCAGCCTGATGGGCCACTGGCTCGTAAACAGACTTTCCTTTTTGTTATTAATTTGTAAGACATATTTATGAACAAAAAAATGATGCAGAGTAATATTGCTGATTTGAACCTGGCATCTTATCCCTTCTTTAACCCTTTATTCTTGAGAAGGATAATCATCTGATTTCTTCCAACAGTATTTAAGATAATTTTCCCATGTGCTGATAGCTACTCAGATGCCCTTGAGTTAGCTCAGGTGGAGACCCTTGTGTATCGAAGAGATAAGATATGTAAAGAGTACATGTGTAAAATATACCAATACACCTAGATGATACCTTTCCCTACACCCTAAGGCACAAATCAGACCAGCTGTACTTTTACAGAAATGTTACTACCTGTAGAATGAAGTGTACTGAAGACTTTTTCACTTTTAAGTATATTTAACAAATGTGTTGTATGGTCTGGTGCGGTGTATATAACTTGTACTTTTAATGTATACAGAAATGTATATAGTCAATCATATTAAGTTTTCATTGTATTATAACTTGTTAATTCAGTAAGTTACTGCAAGAGAGTTAAACAAATTGTTATTATTATTATTATTATTATTATAATTATTATTATTAAACAAAGTCAATGCAAGGTCTTGAAGTTTTTTTTTATTAAGCAAACTCTCCTGGTAAGCACTAGAGAAAATCATAGAGAACAGTGTAGAGAACCTGCAAGCTGATGTTAGTGTTTAAAGGGTTATTCTCACCTCTATTTTCATCTTCTTTCCCCACAGACTGTTTATGAAAACAGAATATATAACCTGAAGATAACCTGCGGTCCTAAATATCCAGATGACCCACCTAATGTGCGGTTTAAAACAAGGATAAACATCAATGGAGTGAATGCTGCTGGTGTCGTAAGTAAAACAGACTTTTACATGTAATTATTGCTGCTGAAGCATCTCCCAAGTACTCCTGTAGGTAAAGCCCCATATGGTTTTTGGATTTAACAGACTTGCAGTATAACTGAAAGTAAATTTTGTGGGCTTCTAAATTGGGTGTCTTGATTTTTCTTTGCATGATTACTTATTCCAGCAAGTTACCAACAGGTAATCTGATGCTGCCCGTTATTTAATAGATGTACAGAACAATGTATATACACTGTACATCCACATCTGATATGTCTTTGTTATTTGTCGTGTTTCCCTTGTGTTGCATTGCTGTGTAAAAGAAAGAACTTGAGGATTGGAAAGAGCCACAATGAAAAAATTCGGTACTAAAAAAAAAAATATCTTGTTACGCACAATCATGCCCATTGCATCTTATATCACATATTAGGTGAATGATGAGCAGTCGAAGTAGACTTGCTTGATCTCTAGAGAGTACTCAAGAAGAAAACAAAAAAATATTTAAAGAAAAAGAAAGGAAAAAAAACAAAACAAATTGTTTTGTCTGGAATGTCTTGAAAAAATTCTCAAACCAAAATATATAAACTATCAACATAACCTCACTATGCCCTTTAAAATTTCTTCTCTGAAAACCCAGAACAGAGAAATATAGAGGAAGTGAGACAACTAATGAAATGTTACAATTTTTGGGTAGACACAAATATTATTGTGTGGTTAAATTTTGAGTGGAATATGACGTTAACATTAAATATCACTAGTCAAATCATTTGAAGCTTGGAAAAAAACATGTAATGTGAAATGGAAAATGAAAATGAAATAATATAACAGACAGAAAATAGCTAGATATCTTGTGGCAGCTGTTTCCTCCTGCACTTCTTTGAAAAAGGATTTAAAACTTTCTAGATACATATGAGTAAAACCCCATAACACTGATTTCATTTCCCTGGATGAATCATGACTTGTGGTTAAATACATGTAAAGGATTGAATTGGGCTGAAAAGAGTTTTAAACCAATCACCTATTGCTCTATGTAAGTTCAGGAGTCCATTGCAACAGTTGTATGTTACTGTTGCCAGGTATTTGTAAAAAAAAAAATGCAATCTAACTGTTGTAATGGCTGCATATGAAAGCATTCTCCTCTCAACTTTTTTTCCTTTGTTTTTAGTTATAACAGCATCATTTGCATATTTTGATTTTCAATGCAGCACAAAAGGTGTCAAAACAATACCCTTGGGAATAAGGGTTTGTGTTTTTTTTTATTCCACAAAGTAATTTGGTTTTATCAACTAAGTTGAAATTGTAAATTAGCCACTGTTAAGAGTTTAAAAGCTGATGTTTGGATCATTAGCCCTTTGTCAGGGCTAATACTTGAAACGTCAGTTAACCAAACCAAATTACCTTGTTACCCACCAACACAGCACCACAGTTTCTTTAGAAGCTTACCCCCTTTATTCCACAGAGCCTGGTTTCTGCAATTATGAGCTTTGGACAATATTAACTTTTTCAATTGTCTTTTAGAATATTTGATAGTTTTTTTAATGGCTCTGCTGAATAGCATCAGGGGTAATTGAACCCTTTTTCAGGTATTTATTGTAGTTTTTTTAATTTGGTGACTCTAAATTTTTTTAGGGAGAGCTAGTGCGCACAATTCTAGCAACAACATGTACTTAAATATTTTTAAAAATACTTTGAGAAATTGTTTTTGCAACTCACATAAATTACATTCACCAAAATTGCCAAAAAAATGATCAAGAGATATTTTAATTTTTTTTAGATGCTTTCCAGTTTATTAATAGCTTCACTTTTATACTGAAAAAAGTAGGGATCTTGCTCTATTGAATGTGTGGGTAATATCAAGCACCTGCACATGATTCACTTGCAATTCATAGTGGAACTTTGCTCATGTGCTTCTCATTCTGCTGACAACATGCAAGTGCAAAGCTAGTCAAGACAAATGAGAAGTTTGCATTTTAACAAGCTGTTTGAGGTGGCACTAAAGAGCATACCTATTGATTTTGTACCATTTAACTTTAGTGAAATTGGTCAGTCTATGTTTGGAATTATTTTCTCCTGTTGTTTTGCAATGATGGCCATTACTCGTTTGGTTCAAATGTGCAACGTGAAGGTGCTGTAATATTGACTGCAAAGATGCCTGTTTACTTTGGTGTAAAAACAAGCAAAGTTTTCTTTGTTTTTACCACATTATTTTCTTGAGGCTCAGTTGTATTCTTTGTTTTACATTACTTGTGAATGTGATTGATTCTGACACAAAGGATGAGCCAAAGATAATACATTCAGGATCACCTGTAAGATTTTGCAGTCCTTTTGGCTGTTGATAAACATTTTCTCAACAACGATGTCTAACCACAGTACATGTATTGTTCATCATTTTATGTACATTTTTTATTCACATGATATCTGTCTTCTACAGGTTGATCCAAAATCGTGTAAGGTATTAAAAAGCTGGTTGAGGAGTAATACAATAAAAACTGTCCTACAGGAGTTAAGGAGGTAGTTTCCTCTTTGTGTTTAATTTAAATGTAGCTTCCTATAACAATATCTGATTCAATATAAAGTCCAGGTGGTGAAGATTAATAATTTTATCTGGAGGAGAGTGTTTTATTGATCCAACATCAAATTCTCCTGGCCATGCCACTATAATACATATAAAAGCCAAAAGGGAGAATTTATTGCTCAGATCGTGGGAATTGGGGATCAAAACTACAAATGTATTACACTGTAGATACCGGTATTCGTAGCCAAAACCTTGTAGATACACAGGTAGTTATGGTGCAGATACCAGGAGAGGTTTCTTAAAATTGATTAGATCATAAAATTTGTTTTGTGTCCAAGAATGGAGGTGGGATATCCAGCAGCTGTTTGGGAATGAGCCCATGTACCTCCCACCACTTTTACAAAAGTATTAGAATTTGGACTTAAGAAGGCAGCAAAAAGGGAATTTGCCAAAGCTGTACGGTCCGTCATTCTTAAAGTGTCTACAAATGCACATGATTAACCCTTTGACTCCCAAGAGTGAATAACAGATACTTTCTCACAATATATCATTCCTGAATCACACATTAAGGTGATAGGAGTGAAGGAGTGAAGAAAATGATCACCAACTCCATGAGCTGCAGAATAGTGTGGAGAATACGCATACTGATGTTGGGGTGTAAATGGTTAAAAGGGCTATTTCTTCATCCGTTGATTCATTGTTCATTCACTTGTAGAATGATGACCCTTAAAGAGAACTTAAAGCTTACTCAGCCACCAGAGGGAAGCACGTATGATGGACATTAAATGAAACTTGGCCTTTCTTTAGATTCTTCTGCAAATTACACTTAGTAGCAGTTCCCTTTGATGAAGAAAAAGTGGATCAATGTTATTATCTTTGCAAATGCCCACCCCCCCTTCCATAAGCCAACAACAGTCAACTGGTAGCAAGTTAAGGTTAATGTTGGGGTTAGGGGAGGGGTGGGTGAGTAGTTGCCCACATAGTGATATTGAGTAACTTTGCACCCACCCCTCCCATAACCCAACAACAGTCAGCTGATAACAACTTAGGGTTAATGGTGGGTTAGGGGAGGGGTAGGTGTGCAGTTGCTAACAGACATTGAGCAACTATGCACCTACCCCTCCCATAACCCAACAACAGTCAACTGATAACAAGTTAGGTTTAATGTTGTGTCAGGGGAGGGGTGAGTGTGCCATTGGTCAACAAACTGACCCTGATCAAAAAGAGTCGTGTAAAGCAGCAAGCAATTCTCAGGTATCTTGAACAGTATTCCTACAGTGCATGTTTCAAGTCAGACTTGTGCACTTGTTAGATAAACAAATGCATCAGCTAATTTAGGTGCAAATGTGTGATGGTCCAAGGAATTTCTTTCTCCCCTTTTAAACTGAGTTACACCTCATTTTTGGAATATTTTCTCTTTTTGTGGCCCATGGGCAGTGGTTTGTTAGAATCTTAAAATGTAACCTAGATGTTAGTGCAGAGCTGCTTGTCTTGACTACATATGTTTTCCAAATGTAAAATGATGTCAGCTTTATTCATTTGTAAGTAACATTTAGCTTCTGGTGTGCTTTATAGTACTTTTACTGACCTCAAGTCTTGTATTGACTCGCATGTAAGTGTTTGATTGTTGTAATAAAGTGATCAATTTCTTTTCCAATGTGGCATTTAGAGTGCAGCAAAATAAAGGAAGTTTATGACAAATTTGCAACATAGCTTGATAAGTCGAATGTCAGTTCTTCGTCTGTCTAAGGGTCACTCGGGTTTGGCTCCAGTCTATGGTGGGTTTGTAAGCCTGTGGATGCAATCCTCTATATACCAAGGTAGGATGGCAGGCAGGGGTTTCATTAAGGGCCGGGCAGCGGGCAAATTGACCGGTCGCGAGGACGGTTTTGCCCACCTGGTTTGACAATCTGGAGAAAAGTTTATCCTATAACGAGGTTCAGTTCAAAAAGGTTTTGCCCGCCTATGAAAACCAGTTACCCCTCCTGCTGAAAACGTTCATGAAACCCCTGGCGGCAGGTGCACTGAAACACACCCACAGCTGAACACTGAGCCTAAAGATTACTATACAGAACTTACCGGTAAGCATATTTCTGAAGCCTTCGTTGATTTGACCAGATTGGATCCTACGTTTGAAATGTGGGAGATTTTGTAACCTTTCATTACTTTAAGAAACATGAGATGTTTTTAAGGGAAGAATTGAGGAGTAAGTGAGATGTACTTAACATTTCTTTCCTCCAAAGGTGGGTCAGGGTTAGGGTGAGACTGGCTTGATACACAAGCCAACGGTTGCAGGGGCGAGGCAAGGGCTAAGAGCTAAACAGGGAACACACGACTCTGCGCTCTCCCCTCGCACGCGTTTTTTGCTGATGGAAACCGCGGTAAAGTCGTTTATGGGTACCAGACAGGGCACACGGGAAGTAAAGATTACGTCGGTTTCACAGGAAAATAAAATGGTGTCGAAGAGAAACATGACGTGAACGTCATGCATTTTGTCACATTAATTCACCGCTTCTAGCCTGGAATTAAGTGCAGTAGTGAATTCTGTCTTATCAGAGCAAGTATGCAACTCAAATAAAGATGTCATTCTTTTTTTAACAATAATATATAATTTGGACTTGTTTTATGTTTCCTTTTGAAAAGCATACTTAGAAAAAGTAGCATAATTTTCAAAAAGAGCGTAATTTTGAAATAATTTGCGGAAAAAAAAATCGAGCAATACTAGATACAGAATATATTACCTTTAGTAGAAAAATCCAGTGGGGCCTAATTAAAATTACTGAAATTCAGTTCAGACATTCGTTGGATCTAAGCACCAGCAATAGTTCGAGTCAAAATCGTTGGAAGTAACGGCTCCATTTATAAATAACGTTAGGTTACGAGGTTTTCTTGGTTCTCTTCGGTCCACCAATAGCAATTATTACCAATTTTTAAAGAAATATGGATGTAATTAAGCCCTTCGGTATCGATTAAGATAGTAAAAGTAGCATATTATGGTACTAGTAGTGCCCGATTTTTTTCTAAATTATACTCGTAGTTGTGCTCGTTTTGAAAAATTATGCTACTTTTTCTTAATTTATACTTAAAAATAAAACACACAAAACTAGTCCAAAAACCAAATTATATATTTATTGTTAATAAAACATCGTATTTTCTTCATCAATAAAACATTTTCTTCATGTTGAGTTCCACACTTGCTGCCTTGACGGGTGGCCTTATCTCGACTGAGTACTTCGGTAATGGTTTGTTCTCTCAACTTTGTCTTCTTGATATTTTCTTTCTCACTAGCGTGTTTTTTGGAAGCACAATGGGATGACAAAATGCTTTTTCTTTTAGAAACAACTCTGCAAGCACTACAAAATATCGTGTTGCCTCTTGACATTTAGATAATGACCTGGAAACTGATTGATGCGATCATGTAATGGGACTTTTTCCACGTCAGATGCCTCCCCTGGCCTTGTATTTGTTGTTGGTTTTCTTCAGGCTCCGATCTCTTGCAATTTGAGCGGGTTCTTACGATGGCCCAGAAGGCTCAACGCAAACAAAAAATATACTGCAGCAAATAAAAAATATGCTGCAGAAAATAAAAAATATACTGCATCAAATAAAAAAATCAAAACGCAAAGAATAAAAGTACGCAGCAAATAAAAAAAATGCACCGCAAACAAAAATACTGCAGCAAATAAAATATGCAACGCAAACAAAAAAAAAAAANAGGAGCCTTAGGTCCCACTGGACCATTAATGTCAATCAACCGTCGTGTGATGTAGAACTCTTAGAGTCAAGTCAGCTTGAGCTACAGCTACTCCAAAGCGGTGAACAGCGGGCGCATTCCTCAAAATTGTTTTATATCTTCATCACAATACAAGAATTTTTGAGATTTGTATTTCCTTTCTCCAATGGAAACTGTCTTTATTTGTGGCGGTAAATTTGAGATCGAAGTAAGTTGTTCGCACGTTACCTCATTGCCACCATGCTGGTGGAAGTAAACAATAGATATCTCATTAGCTCCTTTTGTCGTCTACCAGCATTTAAATTTGACCTGCACACGTCAAATGAGCCTAGGTTTTCCCAGGGAAGACTTCCTTATATAGCGCGCCTTCGTGTTTAAGCTTATTTCACTTAACTGAAGAATGTTTTCAAAATGTTTCAGCTAAGGCTGAAATAGCGCCTGTTTTCTCATTACGTGTAAGAAAAGGAAGAGAAGGACTCAGACTTGAGGTGGAGTGAAATCAAGATATTTTTATTCGTAGACACGAAAATTGTTATGTAAAGGTGGTGTGTATTCTTTATATATAAATTATTTGTGAGTGAAAGGTTTGTGGGCCCCTTTTTGGGTCTAATTCTCCTGTGCTAAAATCAGAAAACTTAAGGCTATGATTTTAGTCTTAACGGGGGCAATCCACGTAAATATGACCTCAAAGATACGTCTAGCGTTTTATATTTTAATCATGAGCACTTGAGCGATTGACTCGTTGAATAGGATCTCGCAACTTGAAAATACTTTTACTTTGTTGGTATGAATGAAAATAATTGAGTTTTAAAAATTGTCCTTTCCAAGATCAAATAAGTTATGCACCGACCAAGGAAGCAAGATGCAAGTTTCTCGCCCTAATTGTGCACTTAACGCTTCTGTATAAGGAAAATTCCCATCAGCTGGCAGCACAACCCTGAACCTCAGTGGGCTTATGCGTGTACGTTTAAGCTCAAGGCTTGGTTTTTTTCTTTCTTTCCAGGTTTTGGCAGAGAGTGAGCAAATGAGGAAAGAGGCTGATGACGTCGGCCCCAAAGCAGAACTTGATCACTGGAAGAAAAGAATGGCAAAGTTTAACTCGCTGCTGGATCAGATCAAGGGAACAGAATGTAAAGCAGTTGTTGGAGTTCTCCACGCAGCCAAATCTAAACTCCTAAAGGTTTGTGGAATACTTTCAAATATTTTACCTCATTTCGCTGATTTGCTTCACATGATCCAAGAACTGATCTATTGCATTTCCTACCAAAGTGTTAACTAAAGCTATCTGCTTTTATCTTCAACCAACTTTACAAATCCGACAAGCATAAATTCTGATCTTCAGAAAGATATATGCTTTTCACATAATTTGTCATCCTATGAAATTGAAAAACTGTCACATTTTTTTTTTTCACAGACTTGGCGAGATATTGACAGCAGAATAACAGATTACGCCAATGAAGCCAAAGACAATGTGAAATTCCTCTACACACTGGAGAAATTCTGTGACCCACTTTACAACAGTGATCCGGTAAGTAACTACCATTGTGTCATGCGGCAACTGAGGCGCAGTTCGAATTTCGACCTTTTTATTGTACTCAGATGTACCAAACTCAATTCTTTCATTTATTATGCAAGTACATGAACAGAAAGATATTTGAATCAACTCAGTTCGATATATCTAAAGAATCCATCCAAGAACTGAGCTCAAGTTGTCGGTATAGGAAGTACGACAGAGCAGCGAATTCGAATTAAAATGTTAGACGATTCATCTGTTGCTTCTAATGGGGGACCTGGTATAAATTTTTTGCACCTTTTTATAAAACACAACTCCAACTAATCAGCTAAGTTCTACGTTAGAATCAACCGGCTGATTTTATTATTTGAGTCGACCAAACAGGTATTTAAGTTCAGTTTAAAAAAAATTCACGTTTGAACTGAGCATGATAATTTACTTTCGTGTCTTATATTTTTGTATTTGTTAGGTTGGTATGATGGACGGGATTCCTGGACTAATAAACGCCATTCGCATGATTAACAGCTATTCAAGATATTACAACACGTCTGAAAGGATGACGGCTTTATTTGTTAAAGTAAGTGTTCAAGGAAAAGTGAAGTGACGATTTCCCCGCTTCAGACCCGCCGCACTGTTGTTTGAAAATTGACAATTTAGTCGGCAAGAGCCTCGTTGCAAAACCTTTTTATTTTGGGTATGCCAGCACATGTAGGATATGAGCAGTCGTCGTAAACACATATTATCATCTAAAGGGTGGGAATAAATGATTATCTCTACTTCAGATGTTGTCTTTGCTCACAGGAGATAGGGGTTGTTTGTAATGATAGACCGCGGAAACTGCAATTGCCCTGATCAACGGTTTAGAATGTGAAGGGTTAATGCATTTGGTCGTCATATTTTGAAAGTCAGTGACAACTTTGATGCGAGGTGGCCTTTTTAAACGAGTGCAGAGGGCTTATCCAACAAAATCTCCCTTAAGAAAGATTTTAAATCCATGATTTGTCTTGCTCTCTTTACGAACATGATGCTTTCGACATTGCTGGCCCTAGAATAAACTAGGAGTATGTAGAAAGTGTGTCACATGTGAACCTTTTTGTGGTATAGCTAACCATCGAGAGTCTCTGTTGACAGTTGTTGAGCATCGAACCCGAATCCTGTGGTCTGAGGTTCGCTTCTTCATGGAGATTCAGAACTCCTCCTCTGTCCCGCACCAAAAAAAAGCTTCTAAAATTTCATATAAAAAAACAACCGCCAATCAAAACAGAAGTAAACATCAGAAAGCGCTCAAAATTGAGTATTAAGAGTTTATGCGTAAGGCCGCCTGAAAGTACGGGAAATTGCGAATGCCCAGGTCATGGATGGTTTTAGCTTTAAACGTCTGATTGAGGAGAAGTTGCGAATCTTCCAGAGTGAGGGCGCTTCGTTGATTCCGGTACTCAATTGCGAATTGCTCTGTTTTTTTTTTTTCTCTTCTTTCAGGTCACCAATCAAATGATCACCGCGTGCAAAAACTACATAACGGAGCATGGGTACAAGACAGTGTGGGAATATCAACAGGAGGAACTTATCGAAAAACTGAAAAACTGTATTCGATTAAACGAAGAATATCAAAGATGTTTCCAGAAGACAAAACAGCGACTCGAGCAAAATTCGGAGGAAAGACAATTCGAGTTCAGCGAAATGTACATTTTTGGCAAAAGTAACACGTTCTCACGGCGACTGCACAAGATCATTGATATGTTGGACACGATGAAAGCGTTCTCATGTCTCGGAGAATCGAGGATAGAAGGCATGGAACAACTTTGGAACAAATTTGTTTTAATTGTCACCACCATGAAGAAGAAACCATACGACTTGCTGGATTATCGGAAGATGGACTTTGATGCCGATTTTGAGGAGTTCAAAAGACAAATTAACGATCTGCAGGTACAGTGATGTTAAAGAAAAAATATCTACCCAATGTAAGTTGCAGCAAATAAACGAGCGAAGAAAACTAAATATTTTTTTCTTTGAGGCGCAAGCACAAAGCTTTCAGTAACAGTAATTTCGACAAAATGACTATTTACAACCTGGGTCCACGGTAATTTCACATGCAACTTGCTATGGCAATTTTTTGAGACAAGTATTTGGAAAAAAAACACAAGATCTGACATTGATCTCGGGTGTATTTAATCCTGCATGCCCGTATGGGGGTCGCCTGTTTTCCCGAGAATGATCTCCCCACCTTACTTGAACTCTATCCTCACCTTTTGGATTAGAATGAAAGAACATAGTTTTAATAGTCTAGATCTATTTATAGGATTCCATGTATATTTTATATTTTAATCGTCAAATTGTAATGTTTGTAATGTTTGTAAACTTTGAACAGGTTCAACTGCAGATTTTCATGGACAACTCCTTTGATCGGATTCCTTCGACCCAACGTGCCTTGAGACTGATAAGGAAATTTGAGAGGTAAGAGATAAGAAATTAAACCTGATCAAGAACCCTTACTTTCTCAAGTATTCTTAAAGCAGTACTCTTACCTTAAACTTTTACAAGTTTATTTCCACATGAGAGGTACTATTTTTTTGCCAGCTGGGAAGTCGTGATGAAGGTCTTGGAAAACGCTGCACCTAGGAAATCACTTTCAAATTAGAGTTTCTTTTATTAATACAAAATGAAAAAACTCATGGAAACAGTACCTTGACCATTGGTAGAGATCAGCGCGAAGAAAAATTCAGATTGCTGTATTCGCTACTATGCCATCTTGGGAAAAGGAAAGGTTTTGCCAGGGTGACTCGTTGTTGTCGTGCATTAGCAGTTATTTGCACGTCAGCGATACATACTCTTAAATCCTCTGTCCTTATTCGTCGACCGAGTTGACATCTAATTTACCTTCTGTACATTTCTATCGACTTTGCTGACCTTGCGGTATGCAGTCTGTTTAGCACATAAGAAGTGGAACATGGTCTCGCTGACCAAAGAGTTCTCAGTAGTTCGCTCAGTTGGCAGTGTTTCCAGCCACGAAATCAAGGAATCTGAAGTGAGAATTCTTACGGTGAACTCAGATTTTTACCAGTCCGTCTGCGATAAAGTGTCAACATACCATTTTTCAGCTACCTTAGAGTTCTGTGTAGCTTACTAGTAGAGCGTCGAGGCGCTCAGGGGTCTGGGTTCAGTTTCTCATCGGAAGTCAGATTTTTTTCCATGTCCTCACGCTTGTAATGATGTGAAAAACATGTTTCCTTAGTTCTTGTGTTTTCTTTCTTCACGTTTTCTCGTAGACTTTCCCTGGACAGCTTAAAAGACACGATTCAGGAGAAATACGAGCGAATCCTGATGTATTATGGCCGCGACATTGACACCATACAGAAGATTTACCAGAGACACCGCAACGATCCACCGGTGGCCTGGGATCTACCGCCAATAGCAGGCAAGATAGCCTGGGCTCGACAAATGTACAGAAGGATTCAAGAACCGATGGAAATGTTTCAAAAGTATCCCACAATTCTGCAGACGCCTGAGGCTAAGAAGACCATTAAGAGCTATAACAAACTTGCTAAAGTGTTGTTAGAATTTGAGGTGTTATACCATCAGGCATGGATGAAGCAGGTAAGAGGGACAAATTTCTAGCTCGCTGGTCTTTTGGTTTTTTATGCTTGATACTTGGTGGAGACATTACGGTAAAAAATTGCCGGAGTAGAAAGTTACGTAAACCATGTAAAAGTTTCCTTGACAAGTCATGAAAAAAGTTGTTGTTTTGTTTCTTTTAAAATTATTTTTTAAATGGTGAATCTTTTATTATTTTCATACCGTTGACAGTTCGTGAAATTATTGTTATCGTCTTCCTCATAACAGGTCGAAGTGGCAAAGTCTGGTCTCCAAGCCTCCCTCCTCGTACGCCACCCTGAAACAAAAGAACTCTTCGTGAACTTTGATCCTCAAATTCTAACCCTCATCCGGGAATCCGAGTGTATGATGCGCTTGGGCTTGGACATTCCATTTGGTGCCCAGACCCTGCTCCAAAAGAGACAAACGATTAAAAAGAACTACAACAGATTACAGGTAAAGAAAATGCTTCCAGGAGGGTAGTCAATAAAAGGTATAACAGTGAAACCACATAAATGCGACGATCAGGGCTAGAAAAGCGGGTACTTTTGACGGGACCGGCCATCAAATTTTCAGTTCGTTTTTGGATTCGGAATCAAGAAGTCGGATTACGATCTTTGACCAGGGTATTTGTTTTGTATTCATGGACAATAAGACTCTTTTCATTCTCACAATGGCTCTCACCGTGCAGGAAATGAATTTGTTACCGGCAAACTGTAAGGGAAATCTAACCAAATCCTTCAGCTAACAGAAACCGAGATGATTTCTAGAAGAATACTCGAGGCTAGCTTTTGAGACTGAGGTAGTCGTCTCTGTAATTTGTCCTATCGTCTAAAGGTCAAAGGTTAGGGAGCAGAACAGACAAGTATCTTCTAGCTTATCCTTCACTAAAACTTGTCATTGATTTTCAACCAGAACCAAGTGAAACTTGAGCTTTGTTTCCACTTTGTATAGCTGCTGTTATCAGAGAGTGTTCGGGTTCTTGGAAGGATACCTCCAGCATTCAAACCCCTTATGTCGCCTCATCTGGCCAAAGTAGATGCAGCAATCGAGCCCGGGTTAACCATGCTCAACTGGACATCTCTCAGTCTGGATGTTTATATGGACAGTGTTTATGATGCTCTAAAGGGACTAGAGCTGCTGATCGATCGAGCCAATGATTTGGTTAAGTTCAGAATAGAAGCTGTTTTGCAAGAGATGAGTAACACGCTACTTTGTGAGTTACCGAGCGATGCTCCTTGGACTGTAGAAAGGTTTCTAAAAAATACCGAGGTGAGCAAGTATGAAGAGTACGAGTTCGAGAGAGAGTGCGCCAGTTTTTATCTCCCCTAGCCATTTCAGTTGAAAAGTAAATTAATGTACAATTATCTTTAAACGCAGCAAGCGCAACCAACGGAACCACTCAACTTTACCAACGGATCAAAACTGACTAATCACGACCACTTTATGCTACTTGAGACTTGCAACCATTAAGATCTCGACATAACAAACAAATCAGTCTTCACTAATCTGGCTTTTGTCACTCTCGGCTTGCAATAACCTCCGCTCGAGTTGTCAAAAGTTCAGTCATTGCTATGAACAAAGTCCTTTTTAGGAGTACTCGCATTCGGGCGATCAAACATGTAATCCTATTTCTCAAGAGTATTCATAAAGATCGATCGATCGATTGACTGATTGATTGATGATGAGGAGGACGAGGGGGGTGTGTGGCAATCTGTGATTAAGGTATGGTACACTTAGGTTGGTAACATTTGCCATCATGCACTGGTATCTTAACTTACAGGATCTTTGCAAGCGAGGTTCTGAATTACTGGAATCAAAAAGCGCGCGAGTAGAAGAAGCTGCGAATGAATTGATCTCAATGCTGCTAGAACTTGAAGAGGAAGACCAAGATGATGAACTTGACAGCGACGAGGACCTAGGGAATGAAGACTTAACAAAAGACAAGGACGATGGGGAACAAGACAAAATTGTGCCCAGAGGGGAGAGTGCACGCAGTCGCCCCCGGACGGGTGGTAGTCGACCAGACAGTCGATCTGCCAGTAGTCGATTGGGAAGTGCGGTTATTAGCCCAGCAGCTGCAGCAGCGAAGCGCAAGCGCGAGATACGGGATCAGCTAAATATGGAAGCTCAAGAATTGTTGATGCATTTTATTCATAAGAACATTGACGCCATTGTGCGCGTTACAAGAACAACTTTAGATGGTATGCGCAAACGTGTGCAAGCTGCTCTATCACATCATTATCTTGAGAATAGCAGCTCGGTAGGACAAGGGAAGGATTCTGGACCTGATCTGTCGCCGCTCTTCTCGGCGAATGTGACTTTGCAGATTCCGAACATAACCATGCAGCCAGCTTTGGACGAGATCCAACAAGGGCTAAACAAAGCCGCCCAGTATGTTGTATCTGTGTCAAAAGGTGTCTCGCAGTGGTGCAAGACTTGCAAAGCACTTATTAAAGTGGAAAAGAAAGACAAAGACGATTCTGATAACGAGGCTCGAAGTCGCTCGGCGAGCAATGTGGGCAGTGACGACGAGAGCCGATCCGACGTCGCGCACTCCCGACGGGTTACGAGAATGCCTACCGATAGTGATGCTGGTACCGTTGTTAGCATGGCAATATTCCCTCAGAAAGCCAATTACTTCAAAAATGTCGCTGAAAACAAAGAAATTGCTAAACTTGTGTCGTTCCTGTCCACAGCGATTAATTCTCAGAAAAAGGATGTAACTACAGCCTTGGATTTTTTCAGCAAGTATGAGTCAATTTGGAAGGAAGAACGAGAAGAGGACATTGCTAAGTTTTTGGAGACTGACCCCAAGTTGTCGGAGTTTGAAGCTCAGATTTTGAGGTACAAAGCCCTGGAAGACACCATCATGCGAGAACCTGAGTCTTATAAGGCTGGAGCCGTATCGCTGTTCACAGGTATTTTGTGATCAAGGTAGAATTTACAACTTATCGTTGATAATTTGTTTTTATCAACTGAGATGATAAAGTAAATTGGAGCTTAAAGAGTTTCTGAAACTGACATTTCGAGCGTATGCCTTTGTCATCGCTCATCTTTTGAAACTCTTTACGGTGGTAAATTTACATTTTCAACTCAGTTGATGAAAACGATTTATCTTTTAAGACCCCACCGACGCAGTATCACATTTACCCCAGAAACGTACCCCCTTTATTAACTTATGGTTGAGATCGTTGCCTCATCGAGGGCTGACTGCCTTATCATTCTGAAAAGATTTACTCAACCATTTGTAGAGTTCCCTTAACGCACTGGCCGTTAAGTGAGCGATTTCTCATTGACAATAAACAGAAGGGTCTTTTTTTTTTTTTTACCTTTGTCTTTCTCTCTTACAGAACACCTCAAAACAGCAATTTGCGCGGAAACGAGGGCTTGGTGCGTGGCCTTTGGCCGAAACTGTAACGTCAGGTATCGGACCGAAATGGAGGAAATATTAACCTTCATTGAGGATATTACGAAGCGTCTCAGTCGACCAATCAAAGACCTTGACGACATACGGCATGCCATGGCCGCACTAAAGGAGATCCGAGATAGGGAGATTATGATTGACATGTCCATTGGGCCCATCGAGGTTAGTGCAATTGGGTCTCAGTAGAGAGATTTAGCACCGCGTTTACGTGAAACGTGAACGGCAAGAGTGACGACATGACTTTGTTTTCCTGCCATTTTTTTCACGTTTTCCGGTTGCGCTTTGCCGTTTCTACGAGAAAGTTATCTGTTTCGCGTTTACTGTGCACGTAAGGTTTTCTTCGCTTTTTTCTCCCACAGAGTGGACGTCAATTGCTGGAAAAAGGGCACCAAAACTATTCCTTGTAAGTTATACAAGGAAGCCTTCAAATCCACTATGACGTGAGCTCACACAAATCTAAAGCAGCAAGGCTCACGCTGTTTTACGTCAGACGTGAAAGGGAAAGCTGACGTTCGCCGTTTCACGTAATAAAACTGTCGAAGCCCTTTATTTTGCTTTACCTCCCTCTTAGAAGTCGAGTGAGAAAACTTGCGCCACCCGGCCTGTCAACCAACCTGCCTCACTCACTTTATTCCGTGTTTATAGCAGCTTACTTGTATTTTACCCTGAGTTTTCATTGGCTTCTTGTAAATTGTCCTGCAAAAAAGGAGTTCTCATGAAAGGTGTCAACTAAGACACAGCGTAGGTTTTAAGTCTGATTGGTGAAAAAAAAAATTGAAAGTTCATATTCTAAAACGCAGGTGAACACCACGAAAGGTTTAAAGGTTTCGCTGAAATGGTGATATCAGATTTGACGGACGCAAGAAAATAGATGGAACGTTGTAGGCAGCGAGGACAAGACTTCGAATTCATTTTTTTTCGTATTTATTTTTTTTTTTCAGGAATCGTACGCAATGTTGAATCGTTACGAGTTATTGGTCGCCAAAGAAGAGTCAGAGAGAGTCGACACGCTTCGCTATTCATGGCAGAAGCTTCAGTCTCTAGCGGTAAATCGTTTGTTTTTTCCATATAGTTGTCTTTTGTAATACATGACATGTGTTGTTTTAAGTTCCTATGTGTATTTTTATACGTATTTTTTTTTTGTTTATTTTTTTTCCAATGAAGACGATCAGATCCTCACCACAACTCCAGCTGACAATTTTTGTTTCGAACTTTTTAATTTGACATAGGAGTTGGGGAGGGGGGGATTTGATTGAAAGAAGGAATGAAACATGAGTGCCTCAAGGGGTAATTTATCGCGCAAAAATGTGGTTGGAACTTGACCAATTTAGAATGATTTCTTAACTCAAGGATTTGGATAAGTTCAAAATGCGATTTCTTCTTGTGCGTCGGTTCCGTTAAAACTGTTTTCAAAGTAGCTTAACTATCATCACTGTGCTCGGATTGTATAATAGGTTGCCGACATCCTTAAGTGTGTCCGGAAGTCGGGCTCAAGTAACGTGTTTTTCTGTGTTGAAGTCGTCAAGTAAACCTTCAAGTTAACGTCAACGTTTGTTGTTTTTCTATGTAGACGGAGTCTCAAGGACACCTCATTCAAATCCAGCCTAACTTCAAGGGAGACCTTATCGACAAAGTGCAGATTTTCATCGAGGATGTCACTTCATTTTCATCAGATTACCAAACGGTAAGGTGTCAATTTCCCAATTGACCTAAAATCAGCTTCAAAATTAGTTGACACTTTTTATGTGTAGAATAACACTACTGTTTGTGCAATACTCTAAATCATTGAACCAACCCCTCCCCCATTCAGTGTTGCGTGTTTGTAGCTAAAAGATCACAAAATCACAATACAACATTGTTTTGGGATGGAAGGGGACAAATAGGTTAACATAGTTAAGGCAAAAGAGATAAAAAGGAAGTAATAGGAATTTAGAGAGGTCAGTCTGTCAACAGTTTTGTCAACGATTGTATTCAATTGCATGTGTTATTTTTCGTTACATGTAAGAATGTATCGCATATTACTTTGTTATAGTAGAGTTGGCGTCGGTAAACGAGTCAATGAGATTCTTTTCTTGGTAGTCCTAACTTCCTCTCCTCGGCTGCGATTCTTTATATTAACAGCCAAATTAAACAATTACAGGTCTATTTAATCCATTTGTTAACTTGTTCACAGTGTCTCCAAGTACCTCGAAGGTGTTTAATACGTTGACCCCTAAATCAAGTTATTTTTTTTTTAACCCTTCTTTTTATCTATCAATGCATATAATTATTTATTACTCCTTCTTTTTTCAGACTGGCCCAATGGTTCCAAATGTCCCTCCTCGTGAGGCTAGTGACAGACTGATCATCTTTCAGGTTAGTGCGCATGCCCTTTGAAACTGCAGCTGGAAATCTTAGCACCTTTTTTTTAACTTTATTTTACTAAGTATTCGCTATTCGTACTTACTTCCTACCAACCAGGACCCAGTTATGCAAAGGGCAGATGACGCTATCTAGCTGATAAAAGGCTATCCAGCGGATAAGAGATAGCCAACTGCACTGTACTGTCTTAGCCAGTGGATAGCACTCTCCAGCCTTCGAACAACCGGGGCCTGATGTTTATCCATTCTCACAACTTCATACGATAATTCTCCTTCCCTATTTCAACTACGTGCAAAAAATCTCCCTAAAATCAATTGATGCAAAGGATGGTGGTTAACTAGGGTGTGTTACGGAAATCGTGTTTTACAAATATTGCATTAAAAAAAGAAGGATGAGGAAAATAACCCCTTAATTAGCTGAGTTTACTCTTTACTTCAAGCAGACTGGTCTGAGTCTTTTCCAAGATAATTTTGGTTTTATCCACTGAGTTTATAAAGTAAATTTTAAATTGTCAGAGCGAATGATGAAGAGCTCTGACAAAGGGCTAACGCTCGAAACGTCAGCTTTGAAATTATTTACATTGGCAAATTTAAATTATCAACTCAGTTGATAAAACCAAAATTACCTTGCTACTCCCACTGACACAGCACCACAGTTTCTTTATAAACTCACTCCCTTTATTTCTAAGTCTTCCCCCAGTTCGACAGTCCATGTAAAGACTCCTAGTGAAGTGAAAGTAGTTTTTTTTTTTTAATATTTTTTCGTTGTTGTTGCAGAATCGATTTGACGCGCTATGGCGTAAATACATCACATACTCCGGAGGAGAAGAGCTGTTTGGGCTCGCTGTGACAGAGTACCCAGACCTGATGCAGATCCGCCGAGAACTGAATCTTTTGCAAAAGCTCTACGGCTTGTATAATGACGTCATTGACACTGTGAATGGATATTATGATATCCTGTGGGTTGACGTCAATATAGAAAAAATTAACGTGGAACTTCAAGACTTTCAGACACGGTAATTCTACGATCAGAATAGCTCGCTGAAACGTTTCACTAATACCTCTGGGAGGGGTAGGCCGGTGTTCCCAACAAGAGGGAGGGAGTGCTAAAAAGGGATGTCTGGTTATCTCATTATCCTAAATTATCGTAGAGGAGTAGAATCACAGGCACTCGAGGATCCTGTGCAGGAAATAGCTTATTAGCAGTGGGGATTTCAAATGAGCAGGATGGTTTTTTTTTTAAAATAAACTGCAATAGCTGACCACACCAGAGGGTTTTGTAGAAAACGAGCTGGCCTAGACGACGTGACTTAGAGGTGCGCTGAACTAAGAATCTAAAGGTCTGAGTTCGAGCCCCGACAATGGGTTGTTGTGGTGTGTTCTTATTCAAGACACATAACTCTCACTCTCACAGTGCCTCTCTATCCATTGGCTTACGGTGGAAAAGTTGACGAAATGTTGAGGGTTAATCTGCGATGCAGGTGCATCTCATCGATATGGTAATACCCAGAGGCACGTAATATTAGCGAAATCATGATAAGCAGGGATAGCAAGGCCCACCTTACTCGTGTGCATATTTCACCTTTACGGTGACCTGGAATTGCTGGACAGTCTTATTATTGATTGTAAACTCTGCATTTTCCTTCCAACAGATGCCGTAAGCTCCCTCGGGCTTTGAAAGACTGGCAGGCCTTCCAGGATTTGAAGCAAACCATCGATGACTTCAATGAAAGCTGTCCATTACTGGAACTGATGGCGAACAAAGCCATGAAACAGAGGCACTGGGACAGAATAGCTGGACTAACAGGACATACATTTGACATGGAGTCAGAAACATTCTCACTGAGAAACATCATGGAGGCACCTCTGCTGAAACACAAAGAGGATATTGAGGTGTGAAACTAATGGATTGTGTCATTTTCTCTACTGTTTTCTTATTCTGTGCTTAGTAAACAGGTTACTGTCACGCCCTCAGAGAGGTTTATGGCACAGGCTTAAGAAGGCTAAGCAGTCTCAAGCACTAGGTATTTTTCCATAAAGAGTCTTCCTATTTAAACTCTGGAAGGTCAGAGTTTGAACAAGGAATGGACTTTCAAAACCTTCCAGTGTAAATGGCTCAACAAGAAAACTGTTCAGGGTCAAAAGGGAAATCCACCGCGGCACGTTTTCTCTAACAAGCAGTTTTAAAAAATTCTCTTTTTTGCATGAAGCGAACAATTTTTTCTTGTCAAGGTCTTTAGTATGTGAACTTAATTGTGTAGTTCGCTTTCTGCAGGATGTTTGCATCGCTGCCGTCAAAGAGAAAGATATAGAAGCTAAGCTTAAGTCAGTTGTTGCCGATTGGAGTACAAGGGAGCTGACTTTCGCAAATTTCAAGAATCGTGGCGAACTGTTATTGCGAGGTGACAACACATCGGAGATTGTTGCGCTGATGGAGGACAGTCTCATGGTGTTGGGCTCTTTGATGAGTAACAGGTGACAGGAATTACATCTTAATGAAAGACTTGGGCGACTCGGCCTAGTTATTAGCCCGCTGTGTTCAGGATCGAAAAGCGCGTCATTGTTTCTTCGGGCTAGACACTTCGTTCTTCTCACGCTCCCCTCCACTTGGGAGTATATATTCATGGATACCGGCTAAACTGTCTGGGAAACCAACCAAAATGCCGAAGGGTAGCCCGTAATAGGCTAATGTGCCATTCCGTGAGGAAGTATAGCAATTAATCCCTATCGCTTTGAAACCGGGATAAACTCTGGAAGCTGTTGGGTAGGTTTAATCGAAATGAGATGGCCAATTTGCAATTTCTGATGATAATGAGGCTATCATTTGTACCTCTTAGTAGTAGATGACTGAGCTAACAGCTCAGTTACAATTAAAAGCGTGTCAGATATGTGCATCTGTTTGTAATTGACTTGTATAATTCTAAACATTTAGGTACAACGCTCCCTTCAAGAAGAATATCCAGAGCTGGGTACAGAAACTTTCTAACACAACGGACATCATAGAAAACTGGCTAACGGTCCAAAACTTGTGGATTTATCTCGAGGCTGTTTTTGTTGGTGGAGATATTGCAAAACAGCTACCGAAGGTTTGTCTTCGTCTGGGCAAGATGCTTTTCAGAGCTGCTCTCGGTGTTAGTATCCATGAACATTTATTTTTTTATTTATTCCTTTTAGGAAGCCAAGAGGTTTCAGAACATCGACAAACAGTGGGTGAAGATCATGACTCGTGCACATGAGAATGCCAATGTAGTGCAGTGCTGTGTAGGGGACGAGACCCTGGGGCAACTGTTACCACATCTCCTGGAACAACTGGAACTTTGTCAGAAGTCACTCAGTGGGTAGGTCTCAACTCTTCATCTTATTGTCTTTCTTGAAAGTTCAGTGATGTTGTCTTCTTGTTATTACGGCGAAACACTACTGCGAGATCGGAGTACGACTGCTGTGTTTTCTGAAAAACGCTTTTTGCGTTACCTTACAGGTATTTGGAGAAGAAGCGTCTCGTCTTTCCAAGGTTTTTCTTCGTTTCCGATCCTGTCCTGTTGGAAATCCTTGGTCAAGCAAGTGATTCTCATACTATTCAGGTAAAACAGAAAAGCTGAAAAATCCAATATCGGGCCATGACTGTCATGCTTGTATATTTTTGCTAATTGTGGAACGCTTTTCACTACTGAGGCCATTTCTACGATATCCAAAGCCCATGTTTAAACGGGGGTGAGTGCGAAGTTTAAAACTCACTTTTATGAGAAAGGTCTAGACTTTGATCTAATTTATAAAGTGAGGACTCTTTTGGACTCGGAAAAGGCCTCTCCAGTATTGATTTAGAGAAATACCTACAACTAAGGTCAAGTAACTTTATCCAGATTCCAAACAGTTCTGTAGGTAGCAGCCCTTAAACCTTGTCACTGTATTTCTGTTTTTAGGCTCACTTGTTAAACGTGTTCGATAACACGAAGAATGTTAAGTTCCATGAGAAGGATTATGATCGTATTCTGGCCGTTATCTCCTCCGAGGGAGAAACAATAGAGGTAAGGAATACTCTTTCAACCTGTTTTGTTTATAATTTAATCGCAATATAAATTTTCTCACTGATCATGCAATCCTCCAGGAACTGATTCCAGTTTAGTAGGTGAAACAATTGTCAAAGATCCTTTGAAAAGAGTGTCGTACGACCAAAGCCTCAAAGACCAAACAACAAGCGATGTAAAGAATAAAAATGCAAAGATTTTTCACACAAATGAAAATTGGCCAAGATTCAGGGAGAATAAAAGCTTTTTCGACCTCTTATTGAAACGTCTTTGTTGTTGTAGCTTGAGAAACCTGTTATGGCTCAAGGAAATGTTGAAGTTTGGTTGGGCACATTGTTAGAAATGTCTCGCAAGTCGGTTCATCACGTGATCCGGACAGCGCACACTGCTGTACAAGATCAGGGTTTTAATCTTCTGGAGTTTCTCAATACATTCCCAGCTCAGGTGCGTCTGCTTCCATCTTATTGTTCCATATAATGAACTTGACAGATGAATGGTTCATTCCTAGTGAATTACAATTAAGTACAACTTAGGAATAAAGTGTAGAAAATTTAGCTTAAGACAAATCTAAGTTAAAAAGGGAGCGATTAGCCAACACTTCTTGAGACGAAATGCGCTTTATTTAAGTGCTTACGAGAACAGAAAATGAGGTAAAGTTAATTACTGGTTTTACTAACGAAATTAGGATTTTAAGCGTAATAATTTCATTTCCAGATATGAACCTGCAAACCCCTTAACAGCTTTCCAAATGGTCAAAATCATTTTTTCTATCAGTCTGTTCCTATTTCCATCAAACCGTCACGTACCTATGCCAAGTTATCATGGTCTATTTCGCTTATCAGTACTGTCGCCTTATCAGTATCACTTTAAATTTTATAGGTGGGCTTGCTAGGGATTCAAATGATTTGGACCCGAGACTCAACTGATGCTCTAACAAACGCTAAGTACGACAAGAAGGTGATGCAACAAACCAACACAGCGTTCTTGGAATTGTTGAACGTGCTCATCGAGCAGACCACAAAGGAACTCACCAAAGTAGTGAGAACAAAGTTCGAGACACTGATTACCATTCATGTCCATCAAAGAGACATCTTCGACGATTTGGTAAGTGAAATTGAAGACCCCAAAGATGAATGGATTAACCATTCTTTCTTGCATTTTGTGATACTTGCAAATAATTCCAATGAGCGGTTCAAGACAATTTCACTGACAGCATCTTTCGTTTGGCAGGTTTCAACACGATATTGAAGATGGTCATATGCTTTACCATACGAAAAATTTTCAGACAGCGGAATACGAATAGTTCGTAGTAAATTTAAGAGGCTTTAAGCGTTATAAATAAATTGTGCTTATCGACAAAGAAAACACCCTTAAATATAAACATAGATTAAAACGTAACAGCTAAGCGAGGAGGGGGAAGAGAGAGGAAGCGAATAAAGCTCACTATGAGTCTTGCAATGAAAGTGATGCTTTCTCTTTTTGAATTAAATGTGTTTTGACATGAACAAAGAACCTCCTTTGAACGTTATTGGTTCTTCTCTTGCAGTGTCGTATGCATATCAAGTCTCCAACAGACTTTGAATGGCTGAAACAAATTCGATTTTACTTCAAAGATGATACCGATAAATGTTTCGTCTCCATCACTGATGTTGACTTCTTGTACCAGAACGAATTCATTGGCTGTACAGAAAGACTTGTTATTACACCGCTGACTGATCGCTGTTACATTACCCTTGCTCAAGCTCTTGCTATGTCGATGGGTGGCGCACCGGCTGGACCGGCTGGTACTGGAAAAACAGGTTCGTTCAAGGCCGACTAAAAGTTGAGAGTGGTTTACTTAAGACGTTATTACACAATTGTTTACTCACTCGTCCTCGTCGCAAATGAGGCCTTGCAAGTCCATAAATCAATCATTCAAATAATTAAACCGTCAAATTAAACAATAATTTAATAATTGAAAGAACAAATACTATATGAACGCCTCATCTTGAAAGAGGGAAACTAGGCGACAAGCATGTATTAGTACTCGAACCCGGGACTTGCGGGTTGCACGTCCAATACTAAATCTGCATCTGCACTGGGATATAAATTTTGGATTCAGTCTTTTTGTTCATGGGCAGAAATGAATTCTATAATTGGCAGTCCTAGAATATTTAATAGTAACGTCTACTTGAAATTTGCATCGTCTAACGTTTGCTTATTTCAAACCACGTGTAGAAACCACCAAAGACATGGGTAAAGCTCTCGGAAAGTATGTAGTTGTATTCAATTGCTCGGATCAGATGGACTACAGAGGTCTGGGGAGAATTTTCAAAGGTAAGGAGAGCATAAAAGTGGAACGTTTTTAGTGTTTCTATTAAATTAATTACGGCTGAGACAATCGTAAATTTCTATCATTACTCGCAATACCTTTATATGGTTCAGAAAAAATCAAAACACTTTCCCTACTTTTACTGTCAACAGTTTAGAAAGCAAATGGCTTCAATCCAATCTGATAATTGTTATACTTGAACTGATATGGTAAATTCTCAATTTATGATGGAGAAATAGGGTATGAGAACAGAAAAACGTGTCAAGTTGAGGTTGCTATCTCGATGTAACCTCCAGGTTCTCTCAACTCATTAACTAAGAATGCAAGAATCACTCATCAGATCTCAGTAGGCAAATAGTTAAAACCAACTGAATTGTTTTGGTGTGTTACAGGACTGGCCCAATCAGGCAGCTGGGGTTGTTTCGACGAGTTCAACCGTATTGACCTCCCTGTTTTATCAGTGGCTGCACAACAGATCTACATCGTGCTGATGTGTAAGAAAGAGAGAAAGAAGCAGTTCATATTCTCTGACGGTGATGTGGTCGATATGAACCCAGAATTCGGTAATTTGCCTCGAATTATACTCGTTCCATTTTTATAGATTGATGCACATTTCATCTTTTACAAACAGTCTGGAAAAATCTTATGATGTGTTTGATTGACTAACGAATTTGTCATTCATTTTCAGGAATCTTCTTGACCATGAACCCTGGCTACGCTGGGAGGCAGGAACTCCCTGAGAACCTGAAAATCCAGTTCCGTACAGTAGCCATGATGGTGCCGGACCGACAGATCATCATTCGTGTGAAACTCGCTAGCTGTGGTTTCATCGACAATGTAACACTAGCCAGGAAATTTTTCACTTTGTACAAACTGTGCGAAGAACAACTTTCTAAACAGGTAAGTTACCTGAAAAAAGTTATTATTTATTTCCTTTTGTTTCATATGATCTAGAACGACTTTCATCCCTTCTGCATTTAGTAGCCAGTTTTCATTATCATCAAAGTTATCATCAATATCATCATCATCATCATTTTTATACAAACACGATAATCTTGCAGGATCTTGGCTCTGATCTTTTAAAGTAAACTAGCTATGAATCACACGAGGTTTTCAAGAACTTTCCCCATCGGTGGTGTTTTGTGAACATTGTATGGGAAATGGAAAACTATGGCATTTTTGTCTCCGCCAGGCGGCGGCGAATGATACTTCTCTATCAGTATCACTCGCTCAGTGCAATGCTGTATTTTGTTGCAGGTTCACTATGACTTTGGCTTGAGGAACATTTTGTCTGTTTTGAGAACCCTTGGCGCAGCAAAGCGGTTGAGTGTTGGAGACAGCGAAAACACGATTGTGATGAGGGTGCTGAGGGATATGAACCTATCTAAACTGGTAAGATTTTGATGTCTCTACTCCTATCGCTTTGTGTGACCTTATCCTGACCCAGTTCCTCTGACAAAATGTTGGCGGAAAATGCTTCTCAAATTGGGTCCACCATACTCCTTCAATCTTACAATGCTAGTTTGGAATGTCATATTAAAATATTTTTTTGCTGTAGCTCGTGTTTTCCAACATTGCAACGTAGAGAAAGCAGGAAGGGCCTCTTGTTTCAGCAAATTTTTTCATTGATTATCACTTATCAAAGAGTTCTTTGATAGAGATATTTTTTTGAATTTGTTCCAAGCTTGTCACAAATAGTAGTTAGAAAATCTTTCTTTGCCCTGTAATCGTTTGCAGTTTTGTTTATTAGCTAATTTGTTTCAGGAAGAGGTTCTCCTTTTTTTAAAGAGGTCTTAGATACCCGCCTTACAAGTACAATAATAGGTAACAATCTTGCGCCGTATGAAACTACTTTCATCTCCAAAAAAAAAAAGGTAAAAGTTGGCTTGGAATGAAAGAAAAACAAAAAAAAAAGCGATAATAGACCAAACAGTAATGAGAATGGCTAAGGATGGAAATTATTAAAATAGATTACAATCGAAGAACTTGGAATAAAAGCTGTAATTTGTAGGATTCTTTAGCCAGCGTATCGCTGCTCCATTTAAACTGCTATTTTTTCCTAAATGAGGTCTCTTTTTCCTTCAGATTGACGAGGACGAGCCACTTTTTCTGAGTCTCATAAACGATCTATTCCCTGGCATCGTGTTAGACAAGGCTGGGTACCCAGAGTTAGAACAAGCCATTGCTAATCAAGTGGAAGAAGCTGGACTCATCAACCATCCATCTTGGAGACTTAAACTAATCCAGGTATGAATTTAATGTTAAACGCGTAAGTTTGAGTCGATTGGCCCGCCCTCAACACGTGTGGACGTGAGCAATGTAAGCTAGGTTGTGTACGAGGTCGAGACCTCTGAAGAAATGTTTTTTGTTTTTGGCTATTTTCAGGCTCAGCGTACGTGTACAATTGTCTTGAATATATGAATGAGACAAATTGACTGTTCTTGATTTCTCTTGCAGTTATTCGAGACACAGCGGGTGCGTCACGGTATGATGGTCCTGGGACCGAGTGGAGCGGGGAAAACTGCTTGCATTCACCTGTTGATGAAAGCGATGACTGACACTGGCACGCCCCACAGAGAAATGAGAATGAACCCCAAAGCCATTACAGCTCCTCAGATGTTTGGGCGGCTGGATGTTGCCACAAATGACTGGACGGATGGAATATTCTCCACCTTGTGGAGAAAGACTCTTCGAGCTAAGAAAGGTGTAGATAACATTTAAATAAAAGTGACCAGTTAGCTAAATTGTACCTTTGAGATGCGTGATGGAATATAAATATTCTGGGACATTGGTAAAAGCACAATAAGTCCATCATAACGTACATGATTGTACAGAATCCTACAGAGGTACTCTGCTTTTGACCTTTTAATTGCATTGCATTAAAAAAACAAAAAGCCTGCCAATAATTTTTTGCCATAGATGAGTTTTGGATTTAACTTCTCTTCTCTTAGTGTTGTTATTTACCTCTCTTAATTCCCAACTCTCGTAAGGCACGCTTAAAGACCAGCCTAGAGCGTAGTCCATTCCTATAATATTGCATAAGGCTCCAGATTTGTTTTTATTATTGTTCTTTTTTCAGGCAGTCAGTGACGATATGCTCACATTGATATTTCATGACTGTTGTCTACATTGACTCCGTACATGTAGTTCATCAGATGAATTTTATTCTGCGGCGATGTAATTAAATGATCGGGTGATCTTTGCAATGAACTTTTAAAATTGTTAATTGTTGTCTAAAAGCCTAAAATTGGAAGATGCCTGATTTTTTTTCTCAGCCTTCTTTAATGCAATTCATTTTAACGTAATTAACTGCAAAGATCAATCCGTCGCATAATTTGTGTTACTTCTTTGTAAGAGAACAGAAATTTACGTTTTAGCTTGTTAGTCTCTATGACCAACTCATTTTAACGAACTACATTAGGAGATCGTCTGCCACCTGATACTAACCCAATACTCTTTGTTTCCTTTTCTTCACCAGGCGAACGAATTTGGATTGTGTTAGACGGACCAGTGGACGCCATCTGGATTGAGAACCTAAACAGCGTACTGGACGATAACAAGACTCTGACCCTTGCAAATGGCGATCGCATTCCCATGTCACCTCAGTGCAAGATTATTTTTGAGCCTCACAATATTGACAACGCATCACCAGCTACTGTGTCACGCAACGGTATGGTGTACATGAGCTCATCTGGACTGGACTGGAGACCTGTGCTTCAGGTAGGGATTTTGTGACAAAATATTTGCTCGTGGATCGTCATCTAATGTGACTGTGTGACGTAACGTACGCTCGTAATGGGTTATGTAATGAAGAGGTTGAAGTCAAGGGGTTTCAGTAGTGGCATTTATAACCTTTGATAATCATTTTTCATTTTCAATTGCCATGTTTTTTTTTTTGTTTGGTTTGTATTGGAAAGGCATGGCTTAATAAACGACCAGAACCAGAAGCGGAAGTCCTAAAGGCGTTGTTTCACAAATCATTTGACGAGATCCTCCGCTATGTGCAAGAAAATTGCGCCTTCAAGATGGATATTTTGGAACACAATTACATTGTACAGGTGAGTGAAATGTTGGCAAATGCCAAGTCTCGCTCTAGAACAGTTCCTACTCAATTTGGAGTAGTAGCTAAAATTGAACGTAGTGGCTTACCACATGACACATGCGTGCAGTCATGCAAGTGGATGGTTGCAGTCACACTTTACACCGTGTCTTATTTGCTTTTGAACATTGCACTTCCTTCCTCCTTTTCAAGTACATGAGTCAACGAGGACATGCCGACACAATTTCATTTTAGGCACTTTTAACAATAAACATTCAGCGTGAGAAAAAACATCCGATCCTATTCCACTTTCAATGTTGCCCTTCTGATTATTTGTTGCTGTTGATTGACTAACAGGCCATTACACTACTCGAGGGGCTTATTCCCAGGAAAGAGGATGGTTCGAATGTGTCTGCTTCTCATCTGGAGCGGTTGTACATCTTCTGTGTCATGTGGAGTGTGGGAGCCCTGTTGGAGCTGGATGATCGGGCGAAGATGGAAGAATTCGCCAGAACAAACTTTGAACTTGACTTACCTCTTATTGCCGAAGGATCACAGGACACAATGTTTGAGTTTCTTGTGAACGAAGGAGGTACCTGATTTGCAACAGATTTGATTTTTTAAATCAAAAACACTTTGCTGGGGGAACATGGGAAAATTGAACCGTGGGATGGTTACTAGAAGGGGGAGATGGAGGTTTTTCAGTAATTTATTACTTAAATACTTGTTGCCCTAAAGTAAAGTCTACTTGAAAGGCTTACACATAACTTTGATTACCGAGACAAAGAAATATTAGAAACAAACATAACCAAAAACTGACCTTATGTGTTGCAGGTGCAACCGACGATCTCAATACATTGAGATGGGTCAAGGCGACTCTTTCCTCCATGGAGTTCGGTTTAATTGAAAGCCACATAAAATCCAAAACACTCGGGGTGGATTTTAAGTGTTGTTAATTGGTCATACCTGCTTGTTCACTTTTCCTACTAAAACGTTTTTCTTAGGTGAGTGGGAACACTGGAACACACGAGTGGAGGAGTACATTTACCCAAAGGATCATAACCCTGACTTCTTGTCTATTCTTGTTCCAAACGTGGATAATGTGCGAACAGACTACCTCATTCAGGTGGTGTCCAACCAGGGAAAGGTTTGTAGTTTTTTATTTGTTTATTCATGTTTTGCTTTTGTTTGATATTGTTTAGTTGTGTCGTTTTGTTTTTCTTTTTGTACGAGTTATCATTTATATTTTTCATGGAGGATAGGTCCCTTGCTGTTTATTTTGCTCATTTTTTTACCTTTAGCTGGTGATTTGTATTTTGAATCGATATTCACCAGTAATTTGGTGATTGGATTTTGAAGTTGAGGAAGGACCTCGGGAGAAAAGAAACTATTATTTCCCGATAGAACGATCTTGCGATGAGTGTAGCGCTCTCATCAAAAGACAATGGTCCTTTGAAAGAGCTGTGTCTTATAACCCACATATGTAATCCAAATCTAAATTATTGGATTTTCTTTGCATCTTCTAGGCGGCCTTGTTAATTGGAGAACAAGGTACAGCTAAGACTGTCATGATTAAAGGCAACATGGGAAAACATGATCCTGAGAGGCATTTAAGCAAAAGCTTTAACTTCTCCTCGGCCTCTACTCCTTTGATGTTCCAAAGAACAATCGAGAGCTACGTTGACAAGAGAATGGGAAATACATACGGACCCCCAGCTGGCAAGAAGATGACTGTGTTCATTGACGATGTTAATATGCCGATTATCAACGAATGGGGTGATCAGGTCGGTACATCTTTCCAAACGTTTCCCTCTCCAATTGTTCATATCTCGTCGAGCGAACTTAAATGAAGAGTCCTCTCTCCCCTGAAAAAAGTGGATATGAGAAGAGGCTCTCAGTTTTTGCACGGCGGCGATGAAGTTTTCACTTTCGTCTGCATTTGTTTCTTTTCTCTCAACGTACTTAAGGTGGATAAGTAGAGTAGTTGGCAAAGAAAAGTGCTTAAATTTTCCTTTGATGATAATTTCTTGCTAGTAGTTTTCTTATCGCGATGAAAACCTCTCGATACATGGGTAAAATTTATCTTTCGCAAGCTTAACAGAGAAGCCCTATGGATGTTAATCTCATAAGAAATCTGTGATCTTTAGCTCAAAACTAGTTTCTTCTGTGGCATAGGAACCGAACATTTGGTGTTCAGATAGACAAACACCAAGTTATTTTTTTTTCTTATTCCATGTTTTTTCTGCTGCCCACGACCGTTGTTGCAATTCCTTAGGTAACAAATGAAATAGTTCGTCAAGTGATGGAGAACAAAGGTTTCTATAACCTGGAGAAGCCCGGTGACTTCACGAACTTGGCGGACATTCAGTTCCTGGCTGCCATGATTCACCCAGGAGGAGGGCGAAATGACATCCCACAGAGACTCAAAAGGCAGTTCAGCGTGTTCAATTGTACTCTACCGAGTAACAGCTCCATCGACAAGATATTTGGTACGGACTTCAACGTGTTTTTTGTCTTGTCTAATTTGGATAACGTGCTTATAATGATCTATTGAGGCTATACACTTTACATCTCTTTTGAAACATCGTAATCAGGTATGAAGCTAGAGGCTCTGATTTCCAAACTAATGGATGAAAATCCTCATGAAATTCACCAGAAATTGATATGAAATCCACCAAAAAATGTATTGAAAATGGTTTTAATTGTAACAGAGTGCGCTCCTAAATCTCTAATTTTTTTTTAAATAATCTGCACGCACTTCTTGACAATCTTCGAATTTTTGTCTTACTGAATGTTTCCTTTTCAAACAGGTGTGATCGGAGCCGGTCATTTTTGTTCAGAGCGTGGTTTTCCCAGTATCGTGCAAGAGTTAGCGAGGAACCTTGTGCCTTGTACCCGCAGGCTATGGCAACTTACCAAGGTATTGATATTACTTCTTTTAGGATTTTTGTGCGTGTTGCGTTCTTTGTTCGTTCCCACGCGTCTTCAAGCTCTATTGGATTTATTTTTAGTTATCTTATGTTACTTAATACGGATCGAACACCGTTTTTAACCAGTCATGCAGTAAGCCCCTTCATACTATGGCAGTTATTCTCTTCGCCTTCTTAGTAACCTTATCTTTCATTTCAACATTAGATTAAAATGCTTCCTACGCCAGCCAAGTTTCACTACATCTTTAACTTGCGAGACTTGTCCAGAATTTGGCAGGGTATCCTTTACTGCGTCTCCGAAGTAATATCGACGCAGGAGGCCTTAATGGCCTTATGGAAGCACGAATGCATCCGAGTAGTTTCCGACCGTTTCACAAATCCGTCCGACAAAGACTGGTTCGAGAAGACGATGAAACGAGTCATTGGCGAAGAATTGGGAGAAGACCTGCAGGCCATGATTGAAAATATGCCGTATCTTGTGGACTTTTTAAGGTTTACTTATCAGTTTTTTTTTTTTTATGGATTAGCGATTCCCTTGTCGAATTTGCCACTTCCTTTTCTTTTCTACTCAAAATTTTGATTTAGAAACTTAATGGCAACCTTTCCTTAGTGAAGTCTTGAAATTGTGGAGAGGATGGAGGGGGGGAGGGGAGGGGGAGAAGAGTACCTTACTGTTAAAGCATGACGGGTAAAGAGAGCGAGGAAACTGTTTCAATAGAGCCTCGACACCCCCTTCCCCTTTTTCTCCTTGAAAGGAACCCGTTGATGGAACGTTTCTGCGGTGCGCTCTTTTCCTTTGTTATCAAATCATAGGGTACCAATGCCTGTAGTTTGCTTCCTTTCATGGGTTGATTGCATTAGGTGTAATATGTTATTCATAAATTGTTTCCACTGATTTGATGTTTGAAAACAATCACTTAGAGTTATCACTAATTAATTGAAATTATGTAGGGATGCACCAGAAGCTACAGGAGACGAACCTGAGGACGCCGATTTCGAAACTCCAAAGGTCTATGAACTGGTAAAACGCATCATTCCTTTAAATTGTATCTATAGCTTTTGCTGTAGCTCGTTGATGATTTTGTCCCTCTAAAGAAACGAAAAATTATAAAAACTTTTTAGGTTTTTTTGCCCGTAAATTTGTGTGTAATAGTAGACACTTATATTGACAAAAGATTCCGTTGAATTGCAATGTGTGTGTTTTTTTCTTTTGAATTATTCTCATTGCGTTTTGTCTATGTTTTTAAAGATCCCATCGTTTGAAGGTCTTGAAGAAAGACTCAAGTTTTACCTGGAGCAGTACAATGAGGGCATCAGAGGGGCAGGCATGGATTTGGTGTTCTTCAGAGACGCCATGATTCATCTCATGAGGGTTTGCAACAGTCCTTAATTTTTAACCCTTCTCTGGAAATAATACCACTCTAATGGATTTAAAGGAGTCTGTTTATCAGGAATCCGACTGAGTACATCTCAAGTTTGTCTAGCTTCACCATCTCGCAAACGTAGCTCACAGTTTTCAAAGTTTTCAGCGTTGGCAATCCCTGCCTGCCTTTACTCTTCACATCCTAACATCAGTTTACAATTAGGCATAGAAGACCACCCCAAAACCCTTGACTTTCTTCTTTTATTCCCCACAAGGTGTCCCGCATTATTCGCACTCCGCGGGGAAACGCCCTTCTTGTGGGTGTTGGAGGTTCAGGAAAACAAAGCTTGACGCGTCTGGCATCATTCATCGCCGGTTACAAGACATTCCAGATTACTTTAACAAGGTAAGGTTTGGTTTTTTAATCGCATTCGTAAGTAAGCCAGAATGCCGTCTCTCACTGCGCTATGTGATGTGATTTTTGAGTTGATAAACCTAACAATTATGCATTCGATGCTTCCTTCAGGCAGTCATTAATATATTAGCAGTATTCTTTTCTTTTAGTATTATATTTTTAAGTAAACAATATGAAATGAGTTTATCAGTTGTACTTTCAGTTCTCCAGTAATTTTGTCTGTGGAAGTCAATCCCACGTAACCTGTCATGCGGTGGTGTCCACATAGGATCACACCGGAGTGAATAAAACGATATTAACTGTTCGATTAATACAGTTATATTCAAATACGTGCGCTAGATTCTGAGCAAGAGGGTCGGGCACAAAACCTGGTCAGGTCATTGTCTTCTTGGCTAAAACACTTCACTCCCACAATGCCTCTCTCCACACTGGAATAGAAATGGGTACAAGCGAACTGTCATGAAAGCCCGATGAAATGCTACGGGGTAACCCTGCGCTGTAGTATCTCCAGTGGCTGCGTGCTATGGAAACCGGCATGAGCTCTAGCGGGAGGGGGGGGGGTGGGCCACTTTGCTCTAGTACAGCATTTATCTTTATCCAAACAGCTCACCCTTCCCCTAACGAATGATCTTTTTCCTATCGCTTCCAGGTCTTACAGTTCCACGAATCTAATGGAGGACTTAAAATATCTGTACAGAGTGGCAGGAATGCAGGGCCAAGGAATAACATTTATCTTCACTGACCAGGAAATCAAGGAAGAGGGCTTCCTCGAGTACCTCAATAACTTATTGTCCTCGGGAGAGATCTCAAATCTGTTCGCTCGGGATGAAATTGACGAAATCTGCAGCGAACTGATTCCCGTGATGAAGAAAGAGTTTCCAAGACGACCACCCACTGGAGAAAATCTTTACGACTACTTTTTGACGCGTGCAAAGCATAATTTACATGTGGTGTTGTGCTTCTCACCAGTAAGTTTTTTTTTCTTTCTTTATGTTGTGAAAGTATGAACTGATCACGGTAAATCTTGTCTATGTAGGTTGGGGAAAAATTCCGAAACAGGTCCCTGAAATTTCCAGGTCTTATCAGTGGCTGCACAATGGACTGGTTCAGCCGCTGGCCGAAAGATGCGTTGATTGCGGTGGCAGACCACTTTCTATCCAACTTTGAAATTGTGTGCGAAAAGGAGGTCAAAATGCAGGTGGTGCAGGCCATGGGAATATTCCACGACGGTGTCGCCATAAGCTGCACAGAGTACTTCCAAAGGTAAGCGTGCTAGATCAGATCAACGGTCTAAATACGAACATAAAGACGAGGAAGAAAAAAGGTTGCATAAAGAAACAGTTTGTGTGTGAAATTATCTTTTTCTGTGGAACAACAAAGAAAGATTAATTTATAGTTGTAAGGTTTTTTTTTTCGTGCTGTCGTTAAATGTAAACCTGTTGGAATACGATGGTTCAAGTCTGAAGCTTATCAACAGAATTATTGCTGTTAAAATGTTCGTATTGTATACATCTCTATACGCCTCGAGGTTCCATACTTCAGCGTTAACGATTTTCTTCTGGCAACATTTTCTACGATGATCTGGAGCTACATCACGGTTCAATAATCTTGAAATATTTAATCGAAATTTTTCAAGTAGTAACTTCGGATGTGTATCAATCCTTTCCATCCTCAACCTTCTTGTACCCTTCATGGTTGACTCGAACCATTTTTGCCAATTTGAGATTTTGTGGTGTCCCCTCGTTGTCGGAGACTTAGTAGCCTACTGATTAACGCACTGGGCTCCAAATAGAGAGGTCCGTCAGGTCGAGTCCGAGTCGAGAGGGCCGAGTCCAGAGGGCCGAGTCCAGAGGGCCGAGTCGAGAGGGCCGAGTCGAGAGGGCCGAGTCGAGAGGGCCGAGTCGAGAGGGCCGAATCGAGAGGTCCTCTCTCCAGCTAGGAGTATACGTGGATACCCGTGAATTACCAGGGAAGCCTGATGAAATGCTGGGGGGGGGGCACCTTGCGACGGATTAGCTTCCCATCCAGAGGAGAGTAATAATACTCCTAGTCGCTTCATGCTGAGGAATTAGCTCTGACTGGATGTGTCACTTGGCTTGAGTGCAGAAGTTACCTTTACCTTTACCTTTACATTTACCCACGTTGGAAATAGTTTGCAAGGTCTATGAAATGAATTGAATTATCCTACTATAGCTCCTTTGATATCAATTAATCATTTAACCTTTTCTGTTTTTTTTTTTTTTAAGTACTTACGGTTTTTTCTTTATAGATATCGTCGAGCGACACACGTCACCCCAAAATCGTATCTGTCTTTCATAAACGGGTACAAGTCGATCTACAGCGAGAAACGGGAAGAGATTGGCGAATTGGCACGAAGGATGAATACAGGTTTAGATAAACTCATGGAAGCTAGTGAATCAGTGGCTCAGCTGTCCAAAGAGTTGGCTGTGAAGGAAAAAGAACTCGCTGTGGCGTCCGAGAAGGCTGACTTGGTAAGGTCTTTTGTTTTTATAGTAATTTGCTTATTTCTGGAAGAGAATCAGCTGATTTAGTAGGCATAGTCCTCTGATATCTTTGATTTCTGTATCTGAAAACTGGGATGAAGTGA